TGTTTGCGTGCAAGGCAGGGAGTGCTGCTGAGATTCCCTCAGGTGTGGTAGCATGCAGTTTGTCGCAAGCCAAACCTGACCCTTTGAAACAGGAACACTAGCAAAGAAAGGACCAAATAACACTTTTTCGATGGTTGCAGAACAAATTCTCAAATATCACTTTTTCAAACACATATAAAACACATTTCGTCAAAGTCCTGCACGCTAAAAACACAAAAATAACACAAACCTGTAAACTTTGTACATGTTTGAACACGTGTTATTTGGCCATTTTTTCCTAATGGAAGGCACTGTGGTGTATGTCAGGGTCCACAACACCAATGCTGTGATAAAAGTGGAAACTCAAAAATGGTTGCAGAACAGATTCTCCTGGAACCGCACGTTTGGATCAGCAATATCTTTCATAGCTGTGGGTGCATTTGCAACCAACGCTTGGCATATTTGCCCTGCTTTCAACAGCATCCATCTGTGCTGTAGCTGTTCACTGTGCTGCATGGTAGGCATTGAAGTCCTGTTCTTATTGCTATTCTGTGTTCTATGTAGTACGTGGTCCTGTTGCGGGACTGCATGTGCTTTAGATTGGACACTGGTGCCGGAAAGCGGCCAATTGCCAAAATTGCGATGTTGAGGAAAGTGAACAGAAATAGGGTGATAAAGTTCTTGCAATGTTCACTGCAAATCGCATTCGCCCTTTGTTCTGAATTTCAGAAGAAAAGGGACGCTGCTTGTTGGTTAGCATGCAGTGCTCTGTAGCTCTGGCCTGGAGGTATTGTTGTGTGTTGGTGGAAAGAGGAACCATTCAAGCCATTGGTGGTTTGTTATGGTTTGGTCCACTATGCCATCTGATGGGGATTTATTTTCAGAGCAGAGTTGGGCGGAGAAAAACCAAGGTAGGAAAACATTCCAGGCCTGAGTGTAAAGGGGTGTTTTCCGGACGCGTCGCGGACACTCCAATGAGTGTCGCGGACAATCAAAATGAGTGTCCCCAGCGGAGACTGACCGCGACACTTTTTACGCCATCCGCGATAGTGTCGCGGACGCTTCACATTGTGGGTCATGGGAGCGTCGCGGGCAGTGACGGGGACAGTGACGGACACGTTCTGGTTGGCGTCGCGGTCAGTGTCGCGGACAGTGTTTAGCGCCGCGGATAGTGTTGTGGACACTGCCCTTGGCGTCGCGGTCAGTGTCATGGACATGGTTTGGTGTCGCGGATAATGCCCAGGACACTGCCCTTGGTGCCGCGGACAGTGACGCCGATAGTGCCGTGGACGCTATACTGGCGTCGCTGGCGAATTCCCTCAGTGCAGCGTTCAGCGGCGTTCTGTTGCCGGACTTGTGGTGATCGCAATCGTTTACAATTCCTGCTTACAACCTCCGCCTACAACTTTTGCTTAAACCTTGTGTCCACACGTATCCTCCACCCCACTCGAGCACCCCCAGCATCATGGCACCACCACACACCGCGCTCGCCATTTTGCATTGCCAAAGAAGCACGCCATGCCTCTTTTCCCGTTCTCCAACCTGCTTGTGGGTGACCTTGCAAGGTCACGCAGCAATTGCTGCGGCTTCTGGGCCTACGTGAACGAGAGCACACCAACGCACACATACTCAGTACACCGCACCTGACCTGCCCCGCCTCAACGCAGCCCAATCCGGATCGGCGGATCCGCCGATCGGCGGTTCCGCGGAACCGCCATCGCCCAAGCCCCCAAGGCCGTTTGTTGTCACAGACCCGTCGCCGCGATCCGCCACCGCGATCCGCCTTGCCAACCCGCTCGCCACGATCCATCGTCGTCAGTGCCGCCTCCCACGTGTCGTCCACCCACCGCCCCCGCACAACACGCCTACAAAACTCGTCTCTTGCCCATTACGATGGGCACAAGTGCTCATCGGCGGCACACTTCGGCGGCGCGAAGTTCCCAGCCCACCCGTCCGTGTCGAGCTGCGGACGCCCGTCCTTCACCTCCATATCCTCACCTGCCGGCGTTGCTTTTTCCTTGCTTGACGGAGAAGGCCCCGGGCCGTGGGGTGATTTTGGCGGCTGTGGAGATCCCAATATGGATGAGGTCTGCGATTCAAATTCGTGACTGGTATACGCGTCTAACAAATTGATGATGTGCCTGAGGCCGTCCGGGCAGCGGCTATGGTGTCCACGACGCTGGCTGTGTGACCGCGTCAATATCCGCGACAGTGGCCAAGATGCTGACTGTATTTGGGATGATGGTTGTGTCCGCGACGGTGACCGCGACGGTGACTTTTGTGGCCGCGTCAGTGTCTGCGGCAGTGACCGCGACGGTCTCTGTATCCGCGGCATTCCCTTTTGCTTGGGGAGTGTCGCCGACAGTGACGGCGATAGTGTCCAACATGGAGTCAGCGTCCGGGACACTTGGGTCACCGTCGCGGACACTCATTGCAGTGTCCGCGACGCGTCCGAAAAACTGCCTGGTCTACTGGTGAGGACTTCTGAGTTCCTCTCTTTGGTTTCTGCACATTGCTGCATGTGTGGATGAACACCTGAAGAATGGCTTGGTAAACAATGGACATATGGCGATCATCAATCGAATGTCCTGTGCGCCTGGTGCAGGCGAATATGAGGGCAATTGTGGCCTGCCAGGGGAGGAGCTGCCGACTGTTGGGGTAAGAACTATCTGCACTCTGGTGTGTAGGTGTAGAGTAGTGTACAGTGCTCACTGGTTGGTGAGAAGGCGGTACCCACAGAAGACAGCTTGAATAAACAGCGGACAGTGGTGCTGCATTGCCAAAGCCTCGCAACAAAATTTCCCCCATCGATGTGTTGGACAGAAGAATAAACAAGTGCTAAACTGGGAATCGCTGTATTTTGAATTTGCTTTGCTTTGAGTCACCAGTGCCTCAAGGAGAAAAAGGCAGTGTTGGGAGAGCCAGACAGCGGACGGCGACTCTCATGGATAGAGGGACAACAGCTTGTGGAGCATGGTGGCAGATGTTTGTAAACTGGGATTGCATTCCTGACAGTTGGTTTTATAAAGATTAGCGACATGTCATGAGCAAAAATTGTAAAATGATTCTGGGAACTAACTGTACATGCATAGAGCAATAGGTAGGAGACATGTATAGTATGGACAAACCTGCTCTTGCCCTGAATGATCTTGAGCACAAAGGACTGAATGTACTTCACAGGCTGAAGTATAGCAATTGAATTTGCTATAATGCTTGAGGAAGTGTGGGTAGTCTCGATGTCTTCAGAGACATCTTATTTGCTGTTCTGTGGACGCGAATGTCTGTCAGTGCTGTGGACAGCACAGGTAGCATGATCAAACAAATTATCCACAATAATCGACATCAGCCTGGCTGACTTCCTCCTTTTCCTCTTGTTTTTCAGTGCTCACGCGACGAAAAGCCTATCGATGTCACCATGCACATCCGAACTGCTGTTACTGTGCTTCTGTGGATATTGGCATTGTGGTTCTGCCGCATCTACCTCACCACCAACAGAACAGTGAGTGCACTTGGTTATAGATGAATGGAGATCTCACATGTCTCTGCAAGAACACTCTGAATGAAGGGAACTCAGGATATCCCAGTTTTGACCACGCAGCGTATCTTGCTGGCCATGTCCTCCTGGATGGAATTTTTTGCTGCTGCAGTCCTTGTGAGTTGAATTGGACTGCGATGCTCCAGAGACGAGCCACTCTTTCTATCTAAGTGCAATACGGTGTCAGCATTTGTCGAGGTCCTTGATCTTTCACTGTGCTCAGGACACGATGTTGCAGTCCATTGACCAGATCTCTACTGCGGTGGCGTGCCAGTGCTCCACCGGTAAAATACCAACCTACGTCAGTCCCGTGTTGAAACACAGCACAAATTTGTGTGGTCTTGTGTGTCTGGGATTGGGCCAGTTTTTGTTGTTACCTACCAGATCATGATGGTGTGTGCCATGCTGTATGCATGGCTTTTGTGCAAATCGCCCCCTACCAACCTGCTCCCAGTGTGTATCAGGAACCGATGGTATACTATGTAATGCATCAAGTTTGTGCAAATGCAACAGTTTGACACCCGATTCCTAGAAAGAGTTTGTTGACAAAATTAGAGCTTTGTGGCACATGTCCCCAGATGCTAAGTAGGTAATGTCTGAGCTTAAAGTGCTACACGATGTGCAAGAGAAGTCCACACTGGCTCCAGGTGCACTGATCCCACGCTGCCATATGTCCATATTGCACTAGCAGTTCACTGTTGCTGTTTGCGGGTGACTTGATAGATCAACTGGCAACAGAGATATGGAGTGGATGCTGGCAGTGGCTTCCAGGTAACATTTTTGGACAAAACCTGCACGATGTAAGCCCGCCACAGAGGGAATGGGTTGCAACCCTGGGGAGTTGGGAAAGGCTTTTGAATCGTCTGGCAAGGTGGTGAATGCGACGTTTGAGCTTTGCCATTGGCTCTGTGTTCCTCTTCACCATCGCCAGTATGTGATTGATGCATCCATCCAGTGGTAGTTTCCTGGGCAATGCCAAAACCTGAAATCACTGTGCACTCTGGGAGTGCAAGGCTAGCTGAGTGATATGGCAACACGTTGCATGACTGTGGTGTATGCACTCCAGGATGTGCTTGCTTGCGCATCTAGTAGGGGTGCCCTTTGCAAGCTGCTAAATGGTGGCACTGTCTTCATATGCCCCAGTGCAGTATCGCGACTGGCACGTATATTTTGGTTCAGTTCTTGTGCACCACATTCCTGTGCACACAGGCTGCAGCTGGCCAGAATCGAATTTAGATCCACCACCCCTGCAGTACAAACTGCAACACGCAGAGAAAGTGGACGTTTCTCAGTTGATGCTGGGAACAATTAGGTTTGAAATACTGGCTGAAGGATGCATGGATGGGTCGATGCAAGAGATGCCCATAGAATCCTGGCAAGACATCGCTGATTTGCACCTTGTGTTCCGCGTATAGCATTTTTCTCATGCTGCAATCGAACATAGCTTGCTGCAGGCTGAATTCGGACATGTTCTTGATGCAAGTCCAAGAAATGGAACAAGTATTGTGTGCCCAGAGGAGGATCAGGAATGGACAGCTGCCCCAGCTCCCAGCTGCCGGCGAATTTGAAGGAGCATTTTGAAATTTACACTGGCACAGTTACCGTGTTGCGCTTCAAGTGCTTGACAGAGCTGACAGGTGAATGGAATGCAGGAAGTTGCCCCGAAGGGAGAAGAAAGGGAATCGGTGGAAGGCAATGGACCAGTGCCTGCCATTCCTGTGGGAGATGCAACATGTCCAGCAGAGGGGAACGAGGTGCAGTACAACAACAATATCATGCGTTTCCTGCAGAGCCAACTGGACAAAGTGGAGAAATTGGAAATGCCACTGTGGGCAAGCGCTGAGTCCAGTGAAGACTTTGCCAAGCAAGTTGCCAATGGGCATAGATTGTTGTCAAAACACAGGATGTTCCTAGACATCAGGAACTTCTACATGAGCAGGGTTGCCAGCAAGGCAGTGGAAGTGATATGCGTGCACCTGAAAGATATTTTGCAAGAGTGGCACATGCAACACCAAGTGGGCGTTGAGGAAACTATACCCCTGGCGAAAGTGATGGAGGACGAGAAATGTTTGGACAATCTCTTGTCCTACATCCTGAGGGGCAGAGACTGTGAAATGACGCAACAGCAAAGAGCTCGATGGGATGCCATCAAGAGTGACCATGAGCGCAAAATGAGAATGCTGATGATCATTGATGAGAATGAAATTCAGCTACATGAGGAGATTGGTGCTGGTGGCATGGGAGTCGTTCACAGAGCGGAGTGGGGAACAGCGGATGTAGCTGTGAAGAAGACTGAGCAAGTGGATGAACTGCATGTTCAAAGGCTGGCTGAACTGATCAAAGAGGGGTGTGTACATGCATCGCTGAACCACCGAAACATCGTCCACCTCTATGGCACCACTGTCTCAGGCTGGATTGTCATGGAGCGGGCAGATACCACTTTGTGGAAGCTATGCCACAAAGGGCCAAAATTGCCATGGCGCTCAATTCTGAATCTCCTTCAACAAGGCGCAGATGCCCTGGCCTACATGCACAGTCGCGACCCTGTTCTGGTTCATTCGGATGTGAAGCCCCAAAACTTTCTCATTTTCGGTACGCAGCCTGACGATTTCTTGCTGAAAGTGTCTGACTTTGGGGTGTCCTTTGAGGAGAGAAAAACGAGAGCCAACACTGTCAGGCTTGGAGGCGGCACGCCCGAGTACATCGCCCCAGAAATCTCCCTTGACAAACCCCTCACAAAAGAATCTGACGTCTTCAGTTTTGGAGTCCTCCTGTTCGAGGTTTTCAGCAGGAATCACCCCTACGGCAGACTGAGCAGGGACGTTAGGGTTCTGTTTCTCAAGAAGGATCGTGAGGAGGATCCTTGCCCAGTCGGGGACCAGGACTGCCCTCCGCAGATGAGGGAATTGATGAAGCGATGTTGTGCGGCAGACCCTTGTTGCAGGCCAACTATGGCAGAGGTCAGCCGTCGGTTGCAGCAATTGTCACCAGATTGGGTTCCAACACAAGATCCCACAATGGAGGTAATCTATGCCACCATCACAAAAATGTTTTGTCGTCGGTGAAATCAGCAGCTGTTTGCTTGAAGTTGTTTCCAGGTGGTTCACTTGTGGCTCTATACCCAGCCTCTCACAAGAGTGCGTTGTGGCTCAATTTTGGGACTATTTGTTTGGATATCAGTTTTGGATTTTGGTCATCATCCTTATGTTTGCAGAAGACGAATAGTTGCATGTAAATGCAGGCTAGCTATTGCGGAAATGTACCTTCATGCATCCTGATAAGCATCTGATCCCTAAGCCTTGTCAGTCCTGGCTGGCCTTCTGGTGACCTGCCTGCACTCTTTGTTGAGCAGGAAATTGAACTGCATCGGCAGACAGCTGTTCCACCAGTAAGTGGAGCTGCTGAATGGCCATGGTTTTCATCAACTTATGTGTGATGTGCTGTCAAGGACACTGCAATTGAATGCCGGTCTGTGGGAACGTCTGAGGAGGCTGCCAAATGCTCCAATGGTGGCACTGCGCAGAGGGCCATGGACAAGCGCGATATGAGCCTGTTCACTTCTGGCAAGCTTGGCAGGCCAGAGTCCCCAACAGGAATGTTTCGCAGCATCATAAGTGCACAATCGAATGTGGAAGCCGAAGGGCACAGCAGCCAAGAGGTGGATGGGGAGGAGCTTATAATATTGTTATGATTCTGAATTTCAAGACTCCAAATGCATGCATTTTTTCCACCAGAGAGCAGGTTTTGGAAGGAATTGCAAGTGTTGAAACTCCAAATGGATGCTTTCTGTGCACCAGAGAGCGGGAGTTGGAAGGAGCATGCACAATTGCTGGATGTGTGGCAGCAGTGCATGATTTGGTGGAACATGATGCAGTCAGGCAAGAGTTGCATGCTGACACTTCCCAGGTCAATGCGGATGAGGCTGCTGGTCTCAACGAATGGGAGGGTAGTGCAGGAATGGCAGCAGCCACCTGGCTGCAGCAGACATACTTGGCACTTGTGGGAAGTTGCTGGTACATTCGCCATAACTCACGTTGGAAGCGTTTTTGGCGGCCGATAAGGGAGTTTGTTAAGCAGCACAGAATTACGGGCATTTCTGTGCTGTCAGCAAGCGTTACTTGCAAAATTTCTGTTCCATAGCACGGTTCCAAAGAAGGGTGGGCAATGTTGGCCTATCCAGGGCAGCCGGGACATTGAGGGGATAGTGAGGGCAACTGCAGGGACCAGTGTTCATCTGAATGACAGCCTGTTCCATTTGTGCGGGAGCGCCATAGAAATGTCGATCGCCCAAGCTCCGGATATCTTGCTAGTTATGCATGGCAAATTTTCTATCTGGCACTACTTGTACCCCAGAAATGAGCAAGAAGGGCAAGAAAAGTCAGTTTTCATTACTTGGCTGATGAGCCTCATCAGCTTGGAGGCCGATCGCTGCTGTTGTTGGAGGCTAGGGATGGCTACACATCAGGTTGAGAGGAATGTTGTCACGGTGCTTCTGCAGCGTTGGTGCAAACTGTGGAATGCGCCGGACTCCCCAATCTTGGATTTGGACGGTTCTTTCAAGGATGACAGCGATCTGACCTAGGAGGAGAAATTGTGGGTAAAGTTATTCAATGCCACAAACAGGATTGTGTCGATTGGAGGCCATTCTTGAGCCAGGAGGCTTTGCTGTATCATGTGTTTCGGTGCACAGCACAGTTGATGTGCTTTTCGTTGTACCAATTTCAAGTAGATCCGTGTGGTGTCACACAGAGCACTATCAGGGCCAGGGGGGTGATCCACAGAAGCGGAAGGCTGCAGGTTTGGTGGGGGAGGACAGTTCTGGCATGGACTGAGACACTGTTGTGCCAAATTTGCAGCAACGCAGTCAGTACCTTTGCATTGCTCGTATGCTTTCGTGCCATTAGCTTAAAAGCATTTTGGCTGGCAGCGCCAGCTATGCCCCGTTGCCCAACACTCCTGTTGTGGTTCCTGTATACTGCTGCTGTCGTTCTGACGTCGGGCATAAGTGGCACCTGTCGCGTTTGGGAAGGCCGTGTTGAAAAACGGCGAATCTACGAGGAATCCCAAAATCACCAAAAGGATGTGCTGTGCACTTGATTGCTGTGGTCTCTTTGTGTTCATGGCAAATGTTCTGCATCCAAGTACTCCGTTGTACTTAGGTCCACACGATATAAGGCGCGTCCGCATCAGGATGAACGCCCCAGAAATTGTATACGTTTTATCAGCAATCTGGAATTGGGCTTCGCCAGTCGCCATGCAATCTGAAGTTGCCGGTTTTATGTTACTTCAAGCATTTCCTCTTTAGGTGAGGGATTGAAAGAGCAAGGAGAGCGGTACATTGAGCATTATGAAAATTCAGCTCATGTTGTTTGGGTCCAAAGCACTGCCATTTTCTCTGCGTCTATTCATTCCACACGAAGCTTGAAAGCTTGTAGCGTACTAACAGTTGTTGCTTTGGACAAATTTTCAGTGCTTTAAGGAAGAGCAATAATAACTGGATGATATACAAGGACTCCCTCCTAAAAAACGCGTCCATTTGAGTGCGGGCGGAGGAAGTACGCACTGTGAAATTCTATGTTCGCTTCCTGTGACTTCTCTGTCCTCCTGGTACTGGGACAATGGCACTGAGCTGCTATTGGATGCCAGCAACGGTCGCGTCACGTCACAGCAGCAAAGTCTTCACGTCGCGTCACGTGTCTGGAAATGGGGTGGGCAGCACGAACGGCAGACTCGGCATTGGTTAGTACTTTGGCGCCGTCGGTGTCATGTTACGTCACATCATTTCCGTCCTCGGCTCGCACCATGACGCAAACATGTCATCACGTGTACGAACACGGAACGGGTAGCAGTACCCGCAGACACAGTACTCGGTGAGTATTGGAAGCCAGCAGTGGGCACATTACGTCACATCATTGCGGTCCTTGCGTCGCATCATGGCGCGATCACGTGTCCATAAACGGAACCGGCTCCAGGACCGGCGCACACAGTACTTGGTCAGCACTCGGACGCTGGTAGTGACGACGTTACGTCACGTCAGTTTGGTTGTTGGGTCACATCATGAAGTGATGGCGCGATCATGTGCCCGGAAACGGAACCGGCGGCCGGACACAATACTTGGGCAGTACTTGAACGGCGCCAATGGCCAATTTACGCCACATCACTGCGTTCGCGGGCAGCATGACATGATTACGTGTCCGGAACGCACCCGGCAACCGGACCGGCGGACACAGGGACACAGTGCTTCGTCTGTACTCGGACGTCGGGTCACCTCAGTGCTGTCGTGGCGCCGCGTCAAGACGGGATCACGTGATCACGTGTCCGGACACAGACCCGGCAAACGGACCGGCGCACACCGCCCCCAAATGCGTCCGTCTCCGCAGCGCGACTGCCCCTTCGCCCCTGAGGCCCAGCGCCTCCGCGGCCGAGAGAAGCCCCCCTCCCGAAAGGGGCACCCTGAAGGTAACATAAAAACACTCGGAAACAGGAGCGGGAAGAAGGGGGGGGGGGCCAAGGCACTATCATGGTAATCTCGATGCTGTCCGGGGAGTCGCGCACAGCTTTCCGGCATCCCCGACCGGCGCTGGTTCGTGACGACACTGGCGCCCCTTCGCGCTGGCGGGCAGGGTTCGGGCGATCGAGTCAGATCGATGGCAGGAGCGTTGGGCCGGGGGGCTGGGCGGCGATGGCGCGAACCTTGGACGCCGCGGGGCGATTGGATTGGATCTCGGTTGGATTCGTCGACAACTGCGGGCGTCGCGGGAACTCTTGTTGGTCAATTAGCTGCTGCTCGCGAACTTTGGAAAGGAAGTTCGGTCCGATGGCTGAGCTCTCCCTCTCTGGAACTGTGCGCTTGCTGAGGCTGATTTCCAGCGCGTGTGGGGAGGGGGACTCGCCTCATGGGACTGATTGGGGCATCGGGTGCCGGTGTCGGCATCGGGTCTCGGGATGGATTGGTGCTCGGCGCCCCGGTGCCCCGCAGGTCGGACTGAATCCGGATCTGCTGAAGATCGGGGATTGCCGATCGAGGGATGGGAGGTCCGGCGGCAAATTCGCCCGACTTGGCGGGCTGGAAAGCTGATTCAGAATTTGGTCTTTTGAACTTGTCTTCGTCAAGACAAGGCGGTGCCCTTGCTCCTTGGGGCCGATGAAGGCTGTGCGCGTCCAAGAGCGTCTTTGTGTCCCGCGTTCGTTCGTCGGGTGGGAGGGCGAGTTTGGGCATCCCTACGACACGAGGTTTTATTCAATCCGCGCATGTGAATTGACACGAATTGAACTGTCGAAGGGCGGGGATTCTGTGAAAAAGGTGGAGATGGGCCACCGGGACCGCCGGGGGGGGACGGAAGGTGGAGACCTTTGACCCTCGGCGTTGACCGTTTTGGGATGCCCTAGGGACGTCTCCAAAATTTCTGGGCCGAATCCCCGGATTTGGATTTCCCGCCCCCGGTCGGGTACGCGAGAAGGGGGCCCCTGGGGAGCAGAATGGCGGGGAAGGGTGGCCAGCTGCTTTCTGGCACAGCCAGCTCCGGGCTGGTGCCCTCGGCAGTGGCTGGGGCGAAAGCCGGGGCGGCTGGCTGGCGGCGGGCGTCGGGTGCATGACGCCGGGGCGTTACGCGCGGCCATGTTACGCTGGTGAAAAAAGTCCGTGGGTGGGTGCGGTCAAGATTGCGGAGTGACCGTGGGCTGCTTTCGGAAAAGGTGGCGAAGCACTGAACCAGTGCCTGCCAGGGAATGTTGCGAGCTGCTCGCTGAAAAGGGCGCTCTTCTGAACGCACTAGGAAAAAAGTCCCCATTTTTAAGGAAAAAAGAGCCCATTTTTAGGGAAAAAGAGCCCATTTTTAAAAAAAAAAAAGCCCAAATAACACGTGTTCGAACGTGCACAAAGTTTACGAGTTTGGGTTACTTCCGTGTTTTCAGCGTGCAGAACACTGATGAAATGCGTATACATGTGTTATAGAGAAAAGCGTTGTAATAATTATCTGGTACCTTTTTTGCCAGTGACGTTGTGGCTATCACGAATAGGCAGCTGGGTAGAAAAACAGTCAGTATACGATTGCAAATGAATTGGTACATATTATTAATTCATGAATTCCAGCGAATTATTAACTCAAACTGCTCTCGTTTCAGCGCATCCGGTGTTGGAAGTGAGTATTTTGGGCATCACGGCGGTCTGAACGGTGACAAAAAATGTGCCTGAACGGAGGACTTGTCGCCACAGTCGCATTACAGCAGCATTACCCGGCGTGCGTTGCCCTGGCCGGAGCAGGGGCAACGAGACAAGCAGGCTGGCCCCCCGCCAATTTCCCGTAGTTGGTCGCATTTACGCTGCACAAACAGAATCCGCGGCGCTGTCAAGATGTCCTGCTATTGGTTTTCCTGCCGCCCCCAACACCGCGCCTGAGGACCTGCAACATTTCACTGACAGAGCGGCTACTGCCTTTTGCCCAGAACACCGCACCAATAGGAAAATTAGCATTATAGCAGAAATTGTATTGCTGTTATTGCCTGTCATTGCCGTGGATTGCCCTTTCCCTCGCTATCAGCAAGCTGAACAAGTAAGGATGCAGAAGTGAGGGGATTGGAAGCTGCGCAATTAGAACACGTGATGCTTGCAACGCTAACTGAAGTGAAATTTTGACACAAAGAGGCGCCATCGCTGGTGATTGCGACGTCGCAGCGGTAGGGGCGATGGCATCAATTATTGCAATAATTGACAGTACATCCGACAATTGTCGAGTGGCATCGCAATTGGCATTGGGAGAGTGTCGCTTTCTGCTTTTGTTTGGGATGTCGCTTTCTGCTGGTGTTTGGGATGGGCGCATTCCATGAGTGGCTGACGTACCTCCGCAGGTGGAGTTACTAATGAGAGAATGAGGGGAGCGCAGTTGTACATGGCCGTTGGCGCCGGCGGTGCCACCATGGTTGCCGTGCTCCTTGGGATGCAGGGAACTGCAATCGTAGCTATGTTCGCGAACATTGCTGGAGGGGCGAAACCGCCGGAGGTGACGATGGGAATCATCCGTTATCCAAATTAAATCAAAAAATTAGATTCATTCCTCGCATGTGCATTGCGCTGCCATTGTTGAGGTTGGTGGAACCTAAGGCATCCCAATATGAAATAGCAATATATCGCACAAATGTAGCGTACGTACCTAATCAATCTTAATCTGGCTTACTGTAGTGGATGAATCACATATTGAACTAGTCACATTCAGTCTCATGAAACACTTAAGAAGCGCTGTTTACTGTTTCGGTGTCGCGGTGAAGAGAGTTGAGAGGTGGTGGCCCCCCTGCGACGAGTGTAGCATGTTCTTTCAATCTGTCCCGAGATTTCCGTCCCGCTTTGAACTGTTGCAGTACATGCACTGTGATGATGTACGTCTTTGTTGCATGTTCATTTCGCGAGCGCTGCAAAAGCAATTCTAAGCAAATATTTAATTTGATTATTTATCTCATTTTTTTATTTCGATTTGAATTATTTAATTTAATGACTGATTTAATTTGCCAGAAAGAAAAACGTTGTGCTATGGGTCATCGAGAGCCAGCTTTCGTGCGAAGGCAGGGTCTAGCACTGGCTGACGTTCGTTTGATATTTTGCGATACACAGTCTATTCTTATTGCATATTCCATTCTATCACTTTCATTCTGTTGACACCTTGCTGTGCGTGTTTCTCTACTTACTCTCATTTTAGATAAGATTCCATTTCTGCATAATCGTGCTCATCTAATTCAATATTTGAACGAATTCGAACACTCGCGGCTTCAATAAATCAACTTACTATACTGCACTTAGACGTTGCGTGTACAGTATTCAATCATGTACTTCAAGCAGCTGCATAATCTATCATTTGTGATTGAGTTTTCACATCCCTGACTGCATTGGCCCTGAATTATATGCTGCAAGGGAAATCCCTACCAAGGCCTGGCAGCAATACACATGGAAATGGCATCGCACGAGTGCTCTGGCGTTCTGATCACCCGACGTTTTGTGCTTACCACTTCCACGTGCGCCGAAGCACCCGCAGGGAGCCACCTGGCGGTGGACGTCATCAAGGCGGGTGACAACTGGGTGGGCGCTGATTAGCGTACCACATATTGTACAATTAGCGGATGTATTCATATTGCTGAACTAATAGCATTAAATGCTAGTGTAGCATGTAGGGCTGTTTAAGCACGGCGCAACTTACGTGTTTGTAAAGGTTGCTTGGCAGTACAATAGCGCATTTTGATGAATGTGGATTATCTTGTCTGATTGATTTGCTCACCCGGAGTAGCTTTGCAGTGATGTCATATTAACATGACAATACCGTACTTGAAGTAATAATCACTTTACTGTAATGCAATGTAGCTGCAGTTGCAATACAGAAACACAGGACTAAAATAGATGTCATTCAAAAATTGATGGCTATGGTAGTAGTAATATGATGATGATGTGCCAGAATGGCGCTTTGTTCTCGTTAAATAGGCACGGTGCAAATAGCAGAATTGTCTGCAGCTGCCACATCAATTCAGGAAATACGATAAGAACTGTAAAGTGATAAGAATGATCAAAATTAACAGTGCATTAACGTTCGTACTGGGCAAATTTGCCGAGTGTTACTGCAGTATTTGCACCACAGGCGTTCACAATAATTAATGCAGCAATGAATAGGCACAACTACCTTCTTTAGGTGAGGTGGTTTATGATGTTGCGACACAAATGTTGTCAACCTTGGCGTATGTGCCCTTGTTTTCAATGTCGGTCGTAGCTTCCATTACTGTTGCGGACGCACAAATTGTGAAATTATGTTAATTGAATTAATGCATTACAATTTTGATTAGTAATACTTCCTTGAAAGTACAAAGGATTTCAAAAGGACGTGAAAGCGGCCAATTGTTTCTTCTCTTCTTGCGAATATCTGCGCCAGTTGCAGATCCTGCGAAGGCCGAATAAATCAATTGAAGCCGTGTTTCAATTCATTTGTATCATCATTTGCAGCTTAAAAAAATGGACGCATGAAAGATGTTCAGTTCGTTGACATTGTTAATAAGTCAAAAAAACTGCATGAATAGATGCCTTGGGGCAACGATTGACGGGAATTCGTCAACAATGGGGCACTATTCGTCAGCTGTAACGTGCAAGTTCATCCAGGAGACTCCCGCAGATAACCACCGCATTCTCGCGAAGGTGAAGCCCAGCCAAAGTTGAAGGGCGGCCTTTTACTTGAATTGATGGCGATATTTATGGCATTGGTAGCTAAGTTGCCGTCAGGGAAAGTCGAGAGTGGATTGCTACATATTGCACTCTCCAAACAAAGATAGTATACACTTCTGATCATATCATGCCATGGAAATGACGGCGTGCACGAAATCTACGTACACTACATCAGGTAGCAAGGGACACGCAGAGTAGTACGTTTCTTCATCAGTATTGATGCACAGCAGACATTTGCACCGCGCACCCTTTTGTTGCATAATGTAGTGCAATGTGCTATTGCACTCCCTACAATTGCAGCAACCTTTCCAATTCAGAATTGTGTCTCCCATTTTTAACCCCATAAAACGCAAACGGGTACCCACTCTGTTTTCAAATGCTACTTAATGCCAGAAACACACTGACGTAATGTCAATGACGAATGGTTCGGCACAGACGACGAATGATGATGTCAGCAGCTTCCGGCGATATGCGCACCAGGGCGAAGTTGCGAAACACCCTGAACCGCCAAGCGGCGCCTCGAATGTCGCCCTGATGAGACTCTCGACTCCCGTGGACACCCCCGTGTCCAGTCTGGACGACCGTACCGAAAGCGTTGAAAACGATATCGTATACGGAGATACGGTATTTGTCCCGGATGCCTGGAATCCTGGGATGCACAGGGAGATGAAGGCTGGCCGCCTGGGTGACTGTGTGGGCATTGAGGAAACTGGAACGAAGCTGGCGTGCGCCGTCCTGACGAGGCCGACATTGACCGCAAGTGGGTGGTCTTTCTCCTTTTTCTCTTTTCTTGCGTGTGGGTGTAAATGGGTTGTGCGTTTTGGGGGTGGGGGTGGGGATCCCCCGTGCCTCCGGAGGCACGGGCATTCTGAATAATGATGTACATGGGGAAGAACGTATGCAGCTCCACAGCACCGCAACTTTCTGTTACCCACTGTCACATTTCTTGATACGTAGTAGTGTTAGCGGTGGTGCCAATGGCCACGATTAAAGCAACAATGACGTCACCGTAATGATCCAAACGTGCATCAGTGTAATCATCAATCGAGCTATGGTATTGACAGCAGTAACGTTCGGGACAGGGGCCCCAGGAACCGCTCAAAAGGGCTCTGGGCCCAAGAGCCATGTACTTTACATCCACGAACAGTGCAGTGACAATTACTTATTATTGTTAATAAACACTTAAAGTACTTAAAATACTACTAAATATTAGAATACTTATTACTGTTGTGCAATTGCAGTTTTACAAACGTTGCGCCGTTCTCTGCTAGGATCCGTGGGAGGCCCCGTATACAAAAAAATCGGCCAAAAAGTGGACCATCCCGGCAACCCGGAACCAGACGCGCACATTTTGGCGGGCGTGGTAATGTATGTGGCGGACGCTCCCGGCGGCCGTCAGGAGATTGGAATTATCAACATCTCGTTTGCCATCTACTGGTTTAAGCGAGTCATCTATCGGGAGGTTAGTATGAAGTCCAGGCAATTTCGAGTCATTTATTGATTGTGCTCATTATGTAACAGAGTTTGAGCTTGTTCAAAGCAGGTCCTGCCTTGAAAGAGTTGGGTGACTTTGGCCGTAGTCGTAAAAATTTGTTATGAGGACTTTCATTATTCGGATAGTAAAATTTATTGGATGGGGTTGCATAGACAGGAAATGTCCATGTACAGCGTGGTTTTTTAAGGTTGAGTGGGCAGATCAGCAATGCTTGCACGCTGATTTGCGATGCGCACAAATCCTGTGGGCGTGCAAAACATTTTCGAGGCTCTCTGCTTGTGGACGGGATCCCTTCCCACACTGCATTCACCAGTTACTAAATATCTATGAATTAATGTTGAATTGATCAATTACGTTATATAAACATTTATCGGTTCTGACATTCAGTTGAATTTGTGCCCATGTTCATGAGTCTGATTGAAAATTAGTGCGGATGACATCGCTTCACTGCTCCCCTTAGCCTCAGAAACGCCACACTCTCTAACAGCGTTTGGACTACAGCACTGTAGCCAGTACTATAATAAGTACTGCAGCTAGTGCTATTGTGAGTACTGCAGCCAGTACTGTAGAAGTAGACCTGCAGGGTTGCCTGCCAGCATTCGCACCCATCCATGTCCAATGGATAACTGAACGAAAGCGGAATTTGTTTTCATATCCAAATAATCAATTAAGTGATCACCCCGTTAAATAAACATGGCTGAATTCAATGCAGTAAAACTATTTCTTATTGAATATTTACCATTAAATCTATATTTATTTCTTGTATAATATAAATTACAATAAACTATTTCTCGTGCACATCATCAGAATGGGTGGGAGATTGTCCCTCGGAGCCGCCTGCCAGATTCGCCCCTCATTCTGCCAGCAGCAAATCTCCGATTGAATAAACAATTCAGCAACCAGTAAATCAGCAATTTGACTTATTCGTCCGAGCATTATCTGATTGTGAGTAATTGCGCATAATGTGTAATTGAAATTGCTGTTTCTTGGGCATATGCTATCAGAGCGGATGGGAGGTTGTCCCCCAGGATCGCCTGCCGGCGTTCTGTTTCATCCCGCCCCAGGGCTCATCCCACGGCTGCAAGGGCATGCTCATCAACGGCCGATACGTCTTGACTGCAGCGCACTGCGTCGACGGGCTGGGCACAAACCCCAAGGTCGTCGTGGGCGCCACGAGGGTTGACGAGCAGGATAGAGTCCACGGAAGGCTGGTGGGTGACAGCACTCTGATGTGGCATAGCAATCGTATATGTATATGTACGATATGGTACAACTTAGAATGTTACACTCTTCCGCATATTAACGTAATTCTGGGCATTTTTTGCAAAGAAGACAAAAAATAGACAACATTCTTATTAGAATTTTAGCTGAGCGACATAAAAGAGTATAAAACGACACTCTGGAAAATGCGGAGCGACGAAGGCAATGGTAAGATTTTTATCCAGAAATTTTTAATATACTACGGTATATGCTATGTATTCCGAGCAGGAGTTGGTATATCTTATTTTTACCGGTCTGGTAACTATGAGATGGTGATATGGGAAAGGCAATGACACGGTGACGATATAATAATGATGTTGTAGGGATGCGATGGCAATACGTTGGTGAGGTGGTGGCGATACGATGTGACACAACATATATACAATACGCATGTAATTACCATCCACAAATCTGGTTCTCCATTGTTTGGGTGGAGCTACAGCAGCGCTCGCAGCTTCGCTGCAACGAGTTTGTTGATGCTCCGTTACCATCGACGGCATCAGGGGCGGAATTGCCAATGAAGCGTTGATGACTGAGGCTATGTGCAGCACCGCGGGCGGGGAGCGCAGCAAAAAATTCATTACAGCGAGGCCCATCAACGTTGCTGCAACTCCATCCTGATTTCCGGATGACATCGAATCTGGATCACGCCAGGTCGATGGCATTGATGTGGTAATAGGGCAGACTGGTAATTGAAATTCCACAGAAATTTATGGGCTTTCAAATTCGATAGTTTACTCCGAGGACCGTGGCAAGTGTTTCATCATGGATGCTTGTGACTGCATCCCAACAGCCGCGTTTGAGCAGATGTGGGAAGCAACCATCACCCATTTAAGCGTTAGCTGACTTACCTATTTGTGTATGTTCACGTGCACTACCGTGGCTATTGTAGACTAGCGACTCTGACGTGCAACCTATTCATTTGTAGATAATTATTACACCGGACATAATTAGACTGTGGCTGACCACATATTCGACACCGTAGATATTTCTGAAATGCCAGTTTTTGGCCTCGGAAATTCATGCAACACCCTGGGATTTGTGACAGAACTGGAAACTTTTGCACTCCATGCGAAGCAATCGTGGTTCCAAGCAGAAATCTGGGTCCTATACGCATATCTGATTCGTTTAATTGAACTTCAAGTACAGCAGAAAGACATGGCGAGTTCCGCCATGATGTTCCTAAATATGCCTTTCCTGTTGCCCTGCTCTTGTGTAAGCACTTCTTCCGTCCAAGCAACGTGGATGATTTTGCACAGGCGGCTCTGTTCGCTGCCTCAAAGGCGCGCTCCTACAAATAGCGAAAATGGCAGTTCTTGCAGCGATGTTGAAAACACGATGCTTTGCTGGCCCGAGGACCCTTGCTACAAAGCGCTGCCAAATCCGCGCTGCTGAATGGATTGACTTGATTTACTGACATACTGATTTTCTTTGATTTATTTGATTTTCTTCGTAATTCAAGCTCAGAAAAACGACATTGGGCGAAATTTTATTGACAGTGAAGTGTTTAGTATGGAAAAGTATGTCATCAAAGTCAGAGAGGACAATCACCTCCAGATAAAGGAATTATTATATCGTATAAATATCGAAAGTAATAAATATACCGTATAAAGAATTGATTGAAAATCAATATGTTTGGTACAGTTTGCATTCGTCACATTGTCGTTGACCGATTGCACCAGGTGGTTCGGGCGGAACGAGCCCACACCCATCCCCGCTGGACGGGGAAGGTAAAGGAGGGGTTCGACGTTGCTGTGCTCGAGCTCCCTTATGTACTGGACGTCAAGTCGCCGGTCCTGGTGGACACCAAACGCAGCCCCTCTCCCGATTATACCGCCCTTGGTGCCAAGGCGTATGGATTTAGGTTACTAAGCGTCCTGGAGGCGGCTCCCTTCGAAGTTGTGTTTGACAATGTCTGTCCGGGGATGGGCGAGTTGGAGAATCACATGTTCTGCGCGTATTCGGACGAGGCCAACCTGCACAGCGGTGAGTTGTTGACAATAAACACACGGAAATTCCTTTTCTATTGTACTGAGCTAATTAGTAGTTAATTCTATTAATTGAGGTAATTCCTGTATTTTGCATCCGCGCTAGCTCGACGGATATTGGTGCTTTGATTGGATAATAACGGTCAAATACTTCAAGATGGCAGAATGCAAATTGTGGTGTATGCAGTCCGGGCAGTTGCAAAGTTCCGTGCTCTCGCGCTGAGCAGGACGCTGCCCATCAACTGGCCTATCAAGTGGCAAACTGTATCAGGTACAGTTTATCTAAAATGCCGGGCAGCGCAAACAATGAGCATGTTCTCTCAGCTTTACAATGCACAGTAAGGTGCAGCGGTACGGAATAGTGTCTACGTTTATTTGCACAGACAATCATAGGACTTGTGTACATTGGACACATACCAAAGTGCCAAATTATAATTGACATCTAAATGTCAATTATCTTCCAATTGCCATCTAAATGGGTCAAGCTGAATCCAGACGCATGAAACCGCAGCAGCGCCACCCCGATGACTGATGATCTGCGGGCAGCACCCACCGATTGCTGAATGACAAATGTTTCATTTTGCGACAGTGAACTGTTCCTTTCTGCGACAGTGCCGCACTACACTTTTTTGCGACAGTGCATTGTTTTTTCAGCGACAGTGGCTGGGATTTCTCTTTTCTGCCACAGTGGCCCTGTTTTTCTTTTTAACCCCAGTCGCCATCACCAAATTGTGAGTCAGGAGGCCAGGCGCCTCCAGTCGTGGGCGAAGGTTGCCGCGGCCACCAAGAGGGCTCGTTGCGGACGACGGGTAGCGGCGATGCAGCCCTTCACATTGCAGGGAGGGTCGCCCATATGCCGATGATGCGCATTGCATTGTGTGCGCCCCTGCGCCCCCCCGACAGAAACTTGCCGCATTCGAAACCGCGATTGCCCCTCCTGTGTGCCGACAGCCACGGGCTCTGGAGAGCACCCCGTGCTGTGCCAGCTCAAGAACGAAAGCTGTACGGGGGCTGCCTAGAGCATCCGAGGACCCCCCCCACCCCCCCCCTTCCCCCCCCTCCAACACAGTTTGCCAATTTCAAGGCAAGGCGAGGACTGGAAGATCGCACACGGTGGCGCCTCCTTTGAGAAATGCGGCGTTGCACCCCTCCTGTCAATGGGCCACGTCACAACTAAGCCCAGTTCTCGTGCAACAACCCGCCTAAGGCCTGGGTGTCAAGGGCGATAAACAAGTTGGCGGTGCCTCGAAGGCCCGCAGACAGACACACACGATCTTGGAGGCGCAAAAAAGGGACATGGTCGGGCGCAATTGCGATTCTGTCGTGGCTACCAAGGCCGACAGCAACACCAACGATCTGCCCAGATATCGCATAGTGGAGGCATGCAATCCACCTGGTTGTTATTGGGTTTTGCCAGGACCGATCGTGTGAATGTGGTTTAAAGCAACTTGCATCAGTTGACTTTGAAAATTTTGGCGGGGATCACCAAGCAAACAGGCTAGCTGAGCTTCCACAAGTTGGTGCCCGGTGCGTGCATTGCGTGATAGAGGGTTTTGAGGGGCGGCTGGGCGTGCAGGTGGGCTGGGAATGGCTGAGCGTAGTACAGATTGCACCAGCACAATCAACAACACACTTGGCGTTTTACAACTGAAAATTTGCTGGGCGTGCCCAATCGCACTTGGTGGGCTGTACCAGGTGGGAACCCGGCCAGGATCGCCCCCACTAGGCTATTTGCTGTGCTGGCAGGGTGGGAACTTGGGGGTGCGCTATGGCAAGCCACAGCAATTGGCTCGAGGCGAAGGCTTGTGTGCAACGCATTTGGTTGGGCGGATGCCAATGCCGATCGAGAGAGGAGATCTCCCTTGGCAGCTGCTCATTCAAATGCGTTGCACACAAACCCCCACTTGCAAATTTGCGAGTTGGCGAAATGTGTTGGAAGGGGGCGGGAGTCTCGGCTGCTCCAGGCAGCCCGTGTTGCCTTCGTTCCTGGGTTGGGACAGCACGGGGGCCTTTTCCGCCCACAAAACGCCATGTAGCCATGCATGGCCACAAGCGTACAGGGCTAAGCATCCCCTGTATACGGAAGAGCTGCCGTCTCCTCTTAACACGCTTCCATACCTTGCCGTCCCTCCTTCTGTGCAGCTTGCTGCCCTGCGGCCGCCCCAGGGGGCGGCGAAGCGGCGACCCGCAGGCCTCACATCAGTCAAAGCCACTGGCCCACAAAAGGACAACCAGGCCGCTGTCGCAAAAAAAGAAGAGTTCAGACATTGTCGCAGAAATGAACAGTGTTGTCGCAATAACGAGCGACACTGTCGCAAAAAAGAACAATTTCACTGTCGCAGGAAAATAGTGACCTTGCTGAATTCATAAGTAAGGACCAGATTCCTGATTCTCATTAATTAAAAAGCATCTAATCTAACATGGCATCTTTATGTTGTTGATGCATTCCAGGTTGCTCTGGGGGCCCCATCTTGGTGCTCGGTAGCGACCTAGCTGACGGAGACCCAACGCTCGATCTTGTCGTTGGAGTGGTGTCCTGCGCCAACTACGCAACCGAGAGCAGCGGCGTCGGATGCGCTGACGTCAGCGGCGTCATCGGTTGGATACGCCGCGTCATCTACAGTGACGATTTCGTGAGTAACGGGGCTCAGCCTGTGTCGATTCTCGACTGTTGTCGAGGTTTCAGTGAGGAGAGTACCAAAAACGGTGCAAGTGATGGGAGCGATCAGAACTATCTGTTTTACGGCGTAAAAAGTTCTTATTCATGTAAAGTACGTGCTGCCCCGGAATAACACGTAAACGCCAGCTGTGTTTACGCTGTGAATAGCAAGCCTGGGAATGATCACACAAGTGCAAATGAAGATTTCTACAATACCACCTGCGATACCACTGTGACAGGAAATAACGCTGTCAGAGGAGATTGCTATGCCATCCAAGCAACAGCAATGGCCAGGCTTGTTATCTGCATCAGACTTGGTCTTTACGCCGTAAAAACTGATCGTATTTGCATTTTACGCGTACAAATAGTTTTTACATTTTCATGCGTAAAAACGCGCAAAAATACGTAAATTCAAGGTAAATACCCCCCGAGTACATAAGGACAGTACGCACAGACTTGGAGAGTTGGGAATTGGCAGCCGAATGCGCTGGAATGGACATAAAACGAAATTTTCTATCATGCCGTCGTTCCCCTTGCCGAGGGCGATATGGGCACTGCGGTTCTGGTGTTGTAGATGGCGGAGGACTGACCATTGTATCAACTTTCATTGCGTAACCTGGCTATCCCAATGAGCCGTACAAACGTAAGAACACCCGCAAAAATATCCCCTTTCGCAAACTTATGTTCTGTGCATAAAAAACTAAAAGCAAAAACGTACGCGCAAAAATGTAAGTGTAAAAACGTAAAAGTAAAACGTAAACGTAAAAGCAAAAACCAAACCTGATCCGCGGCATAAACGCAACCTGTATTCACGAATTCTGAAGGGTTCTTTAGTAAAATTACGTAAATAGCGAGCCTGGTGATGGCATCCGTCAGTGCCAGATGGCCTCGCAGGTGGCACGGGCAAAATGGCAATTTACATTGGCATCAGGTGCCGGAAGAGGGACCCGCCTCTTAAGGCTGAGAGGCGGGTGATTTGGCCTGAGACTGGGCATTCCGCGTCACGCCAATGAACTCTTATGCAATTGCGGTTTTGCTAGTTTATTTTGATCCGCTGGCGATAATCTAGTCACTTGATAATTTTTTAGTTCTGTAACTTCTTTGTTTCTTTGTTTATTTATTTGCTTAGATTTGATTGCTGGTTGTTTCTGTGTCAATGGTGGAGAAGCCTCGGGAATCTTGGTTGAAAATTTATCCAATTGCAGTATCACCAATTTTCACAGCCATCAGTCGACTTGACGGCTGTGACAATCTAGTCTCTAATTTTTGCACTTGAAAGCCGCCACGTTTTGTTGCAATCACGGCTCAGATTGAATGCTCAATCTGAGCCATGATTGGAACAGAAAGTGGCAGTTTCCAAGTGCGCCGGTTGAATAAATAAACATCTTGATCAGGACTTTTATTCGCTGCTCTCTACGCGTTCACTTGACGGAGCTCTGTTGACAGCAGGAGTCTTGGGTTTCCTGGAGGCAGCGCAGCCAGGCAATCGGGTGGACAGCTGTAACTGTGTCTTTCACGGTGAGAATGACGCAGCAAACAGTTGTGCTCAGACATGTTATGTATTGCAGTCGATTCCGACACAGTCAGCTAGAATCTACATTTGAAGGCAATGCGCATTGAGTCATTGAGCGAACTCGTGCTTGTGACAACGCACGACCACGCAGTTACTGCCTAAAGCACTATCGTTTGCGACCCGTGCTGTGCTTGTACATATAACTCTACACATACATGTAAATATCGCAAGACCTCCCATGGTTGTGTAACTTTTCGCGCAGCAGGTTAACTAATACGCAAGTATTAAACATTGCATAGGCGGTCTTAATGTTGCCATTCACTACCAGTGTATATACTGCCACACTGCCGCATATTGTTGTCCTGATTTGATGACTTATCTTTGGCTGCTGTGCAGGGGTTGTTTTTCATCACATTGCATTTCCAAAGGGTGAGAAATTTTGAGGAAGTCCCGCTCAGAAGTTCAATTTACATGGTGCAATCATTGCTATGGACGTTTGAACCTCGCCCATTTGTCTGTGCTTGCAGTCTCAAGTGAGGAACTCGAATACATTTAGCACAAATATCAACATAGAATCAATTTCCTTGGTACTTCCATGGGGAGGGGACCGATAAATTGATTTTCTGTGTTTGGTTTTCTTTCTCCTGTCGACGGGACGCATGGAAATTTTCGGTGTTCTCTGAATTTTGAATTGCAAGCACAACAGGAAACATCGAATAAAGCCAACAGCGGAAATACGAAGCGACCTTGAGTACGAAATGCGCTATGCGCATTCTCGCTTCGCGTACGTTGTGCAATTGGTCGCTACACAACCGTAGCCTCCCAGAAACACTCTTCAAGGAAAGCACGATAAACCTGCACTAAAGTACTAACCCTGTTTTTTCTTTTCAGCGGATGTCGCGATTTTGCGATATCGATCCAAACCGGAATAGGATGGAAATTATGACGTACTGCTCAACTTAAGAAGTATGGAATAGTACATCACAGCCCGCATCTTTGCTCCTACCAAGTCTCCTATATTGTGTTGATGAGTGTACCTAGTCGCCCGCAAGGACCCGTTAGGAATAGTGATATTTTTCTTTCGTGCAGACTTTACTCGCAAACATTCTTGTTAGGAATATTTACAAGTGCCAGTGCTTCTACTTGTGCTACTTGTAATAGGACTGTTTGTAATAGTATTTGTAGTACTAATAGTAGTACATGTAGTAATATTAATACCATTTGTGCTAGTACTCCTAAGATGTACTTTGCTTCATAATATTAGATGTTGCCACTACTTCCTGGAATGGCTTTTGGAAATACAATGGCGGAGTCAAAAAGTGGGGGGACCCCCGGCAACGCCTGGGAACGTCTTTGCGCCATTTCAATTTAAACAATCAATTTCAAATTAGATTCAATTCAGACATTGATCATTTAAATTGCCAGTTCCCGAATTCAATGGTGGAACAGAATGCGCTTACAAGCTGCCATGCTTGACAACATTAGAATGTTCTGTCAAGTGTCCAAACTCTCAATTCTGGAATCAGATACGTTTTGACGGGCTCCTTGAGGCCACGGTTGACAGCTACCATTATGTTTAGGATGGCTTGAACCGCATATAGGTCAGTTTCGAGTCTCATTCACCAAATCTACGGTATTTTCGTAATAGGATGCGCACCAAATTTGTGCACAATTTGACTGTATTTAAAATAGGAATGCAAGTACCAGTGTCCGTATTTAATTTGGACCACAGTGCGGGCTTTTTTTGTTTATTTTGGAATTCTTAATATAAGTTTTAAAATTTTGGCGTTTCAGTTTTTATTTGAAAGTGCATTTGTCATTCAATGGTTGGGGAAATTGATTGATGGTCGTTGCTGGGCTATCGCAGGACGCATGGGACTTCATCATTCACAGCATCATCATCGCGACTGCCTCCTTCTCCAATTTGGTGGGTACACAATCAATGGAATATCGTATTCATCAAACGATAACAACGCTATCAACATTATTGATACCATCATCATCAGAAAGAAACCAATTTATCAGCTAATCAAAATTGATATCAAGTCACCATTCCCTTGAGCAGTATTATATGATCTTTCCGTGGTCGTAAGTGCAGCGTTAGTGTGGCAATCGACAATACAAATTATCCTTGGGGCAATCAACGAATTCATTTCTCTGCATTTGGTGCACGCTCTGATGCAAATGCCTCCAATTGCAAAGGAATGTGCGCACGCACCTGCACTGGTCAGTGAGTTATTAAGTATCGTGCATTTGCCGTTGGGAAGGCTGATAGATCTATCTATAAACTAGATGCACATGACTGGAAGCCAGGTGCGGCACCCGGCTGAAGTTGTGGAGAATGAGCTACAAGCAAGTACTGTCAATGGCTGACAATTATGCAGCTTTCTTCAAAAGCAGGGTGTGTCACATCTTTGTCCTTCATGGAGCAGATTTCCCTCCAAAACATTTGTAGCCTGACGAAGGCAGGCAAGGTCGAGGGGTGGCGGTCCCTGAACGGGAATTATACGCTCGAGTCCACGGCAACGGTTTACAGCCGAGGCAAAAGGTCAACAGACGTTCTGTCCTTTATACCCAGTCCGTTCATCAACATCCCTAATGCAGTCCCTAGTGCTTCGTCATCTTTTCATACATTCAGTTATTAATACCACTCAATCAGTTCTAGCCGTAACATAGCCCTCACAATGCATCCCTGATTTCGTTGATTTAATGATCGCCTTCAATCTGCTGCGACGAAACAGACAGCTCCATCATGGAGCTTCCATGGAACCTCCGTGCGTGCGATCACGAATGGCCCAGCATGGCAAATGTATAATTAGCAATCGATTATTCAGTTGCCGTAAGTTAACTTAAATTTCTGTTGATCACTGAACATTTTGCATTCAATTAAACTTCTGTTACTCAGTTAACATTGTTACTTTGCCCCATTTCGATTGCTAAACACAACGTTGGCGCTGTGAAATTGTAGGCAGCAGTCATTATGTAGCAAATTAAATGTTGATTAGCTTGTTAGTCAGTACAATAACAAATTAAAAAAGGCAAATTAGCTGCCACACTAGTAGCCGTGTTGTCTGGTGAGTCCTCCTTAGAACTCCACATTGGTTTGTGCACCATCATTGATTAAACTATTTTGATGATTAGGGCTCTAAGCATATCCCGGTAATCAGTCACTAACCATAATACTTCGTTTTCCCAGGGCCTGGTTCTCGTCATGAAAGAGCGCCTGCAGGTGGGACGCTGCATTTGGAAATGATCTGTACTCGTTTTCAACTAATGGAACTCATTAAATGCGCAACACCGCTGGCGAAATTCCGCCATTTTGCAAAGTGTACAATAGTGTGAAATCGTATAGAAACCGAGTATTTTGGAGCATGATTGTACACGGTATTCGAGTCATGTAGTTTCGTAAGTTACACGAAAGTGGCCCACCTTACCGACATGCACAACATGATAAAAGACACGATCTTACACGATTTCAACCGTGTATCTCTGGCCGGTGTGTATTTTGCGATCAGTACACTGTTGGCGCACTATTTTTACGCTGTACGCGATTTTCAGGACCGTGTGCTTTGGCCTGTTTTTACATATAATGCGACTGGATCGAGCTTCTGGCTTCCGTATTATCCTTTCTCTGCGCCATTTCCTTCCCTGTTTCTTTGAATTTAAATGTGTTAAATATTGTGCATTTGCTTACGTAAATCCTGCTTTTCCGATGCAGGGCCCCATGGCGCCATTGATGCTCTGCGCCTCCAGCGCGGCGCTTGGTGGGACGCTAATCGTAACGCTTTCAGGATACAACGGTACAAGCAACAATTTCACCTTGCGCACTTTGACAGATTTTGGTTAATGGAAGGTAGATTAGTGATCAAAGAGACCACGGTTCCCTGGTCGTTTGCACAGTACTGTGCGCGACAGTCCAGAAATCGCTGTGAAATGCGCAACAGATCATTGCATGGAAATTTCTGTAAAGCATGGGAATGTTTAGCGCGTAGGGTGCAGGCAAAGGGGCAACATAGGGTCACGTGGAGAATGTCCCTTCACAAAGATTCCGACAAGTAATTATGTTCGTGACAAATCTAATTATGCATTGTTAGTGCAATAGAAGCTGGTAATACATTTCATAGCAAAGCCAACAAGTTCGTTCCTCAATCAAGACGTCTTGGTCACAAGCATGTACGTTGTCACCGAACTCAACTACGTCGCACAATTTGCGCCATTTGCCACAATTCACAAGCTGATTGAATAGATCTTTATGTAATCGAAATATACAATTTCGTTGTTGAAATCAAAATTTTCTTATGCAAGGCAGTAGTGAGGCAATTCCTCTCTGCATTTTTCCGCCATAGAAGTTGACTTATATTGGGTTTTGAGACCAGTTATGGTGGAATTTCTGATTGCTCGTATGTTCGCGGCTCCTGAATTGATTTCTGGGGTCCCTTTACTTGTGAAATAATGGTGTTATATACCACTCGTGCTGAGCTGTAATATGCTTGAGCTGCATGATCAGCGTAATACGTGATGTGATGCACCAAACTGGACAACCTCGATTCTTGCCGTTGGAGTGCTTGACGTGGCACCGAGATTTGTTCAAAGCTAGTGTTAAGAAAGCAGTTTAGGCTGTTCGCAATTTATTAAATTGCATCAAACTCAGAATTTGCCAGAGTTTTGGTTCACATGAAATTTAGGAGGATTTCGTTTGCGGTCACAGGAGGTACAATTCCGGGGACCACGGGAGCTGTCGACATGTAATGTGAGGCTGTGGATGTGTGCAACGCAATCAAGAATGTACAAAAATCAGGAATAAGTTCGCCTATTGTTTCTTCATTAATTTATTAGCTCCCCCCAGTTTTGCTTATCCACACAGGTAATATCTTGACCGCGCGCGTGCCAAACTGCCCCCTCCCCAAAATTGGTAAATATCTACAGGACCGAAAGCTGAATTGTTTCTTTGTGGCGAGAGTTGACTAGGGGAGTTTGCGTGGATTATTATTATTGGAAAATTGGCCCCATCTTCGGCACTGTGATGGGTTGGTACTTAAGGTCGGCGCTCAGAGAAATGTTCTGAGGTATAGCCTTGGGCCAGTGAAGGTGTGATCAGCATCTTGCCTTTTGGCGGATTTTGTCCAGCAGCTTCTCAGATTTTAACGAGGTCTGGCCATGGGCTGGCCAAGACGTGACCGAGTATTGACCGATGCGTGGCCAAAGTCATTGGGGAGCCTAGGGAAGAGCATTTGAGAACTAAATTAGGGAATGCACTGTTTTTTTACCATTGCCATTGCGTTGTCCTCTCTGGGTATATATTGAAATTTAACAGAATTAAAGCGGCACCTGCTCCTATTCTGAATCGCATTAGGCTCTAATATTTTAACTAGGGGTCCATCCCGAATTTCCTTCAACTAGTTGTAAGTGAATGGTGCCAGTTATTGAAATAATGATGCGATGAAATTGACATGGAAGCGAATTTAAGGGAGGGCAAGCGACTTTTGTCAGGACTGGGACGCAGAATTTCGCAAGACGATTGGTATGCAGATTTTGAAGATTTTCGTGAGGTCCACTGATAAATGTACGATACTTTGATGGTCGGTGTACGGACGAGGCTTGAGGTGTAAGGTGTACATGATCTGCAACATTCATGGCGACTATGATGCCGTGTACGTCATGGATCCATCACCGATATGGTAGGCGTTGATACAACAGTGACAGGCCATTGCATCAACGCCGCTCTACAGACACGGACTCTGAAGGTTCGCGTTGATCCAAGGGCCTATCAATGGTGCACCAAAGCCTGACAAATTTCTGGATGCATCTCCGGGCTGCTAAATGGATCGTTGATGCAGCATTGCCGGAGCACCGCTTGTTGGGAATGTTGCACCAAGGTGCCTTGTTGGAAGGTTAGTAAACGCCGACGCCAAGAGCCATTGTTTCAGGTGCAGTTCGCCAACATTGAAGGCCACTGTAGCAATGACCCACTTGCATCAACCCTAATCAACATTGCATCAAAGCCTGCCGAATTTTCAGATGTACGTGCGAGTTTTGATCCTTAATGCCCAGGCGTATACTGCAAACTTGCATGACAACAATTTGTGGATAATATGGATGATTACGTATCTGGAACATTGGCAACGCAAGTGAAAACCCGGCAAAAATGCGCGGTTTTGAAGCGTATAAAATCGCATAAGACCAAATCGTGCAAAACGTGTAAAAATCATGTACACACGCTCAAACGCTACTACGCGGTTTGGCCCCTTTTTTGTGCGATAGATAAATTTGCGATTCTTATACGATATTCAATAGGTTTACACGTAACACGATTCCCAAACCGTGTGTTTTTGTCTTTTGCACCCAGCGTGCTTCCACCCACGGAGTTTGCAATGTCTAATGTGGTCCGCAACATCTTGAACATCATTAAGAGAAGAAGCGGTATGAGCAAGCGCTGCGCAGTACTGAGTTGTTCACTCCTGTTTCCCAGAAGGCGATTCATATGCGGCATATACAGTACCTGCGGGGGCTGTGTGAGGCGGTCGATGGGACCTCCCACTCCTGGATGTTCCTGGTGTATCAGCAACAATGTGTCCGTTACGCGGTGCATTGGGTGTGCCGTATGACGAAGTATATCTTTGTGTCAGTAACTGCATAGATTCTCATGCGATTGGTCGCCCCCACTGAAAGGGCTATGGGGGTGGCAGGTCTCGATACAGTTCCATCTGACAATGTGTGGAGCATTTCGATGGAAATGGGATTCATACCTGTGCGTATATACACACGTAAGTATGAGTATACAAACAAGCACCTGTTCTTATGTGAGGTCATATAGTCATGCATTAGAGACAGTTAGTCGCACACCCTTGTAGGCGCCCCATGCACTTGGCCCTCGCAGGGGTCAACGATCCCTTCGAATATGCAGAGCCACACGGCGGCACATGCGCGTGTTTTGGATATCTAACGCGAGTGCATTGGCTGCCCATTTTGTACTTGGGGGCTCCAATTTTTCATCTGACTTCCTTTTCAAGCTATCTTTTTCTTCTGTGGAACGCCAATCATTATTGTCCGTTGTCTTGCCACCAACACATGCCTCACAAATTAGCTACCCAATTGCGTAACTGGGCATGAAGTCATGCAAAACATGCACGCATCTATTGTCTGCATGCAGGGAATCATGCAGACGGAAATAGCGCAGTGCTGTGTAGTATGCGGCAATTCGATCTTGAGCCATGAGCGTCCTTGTGCCAAAGGTCTGGCGATGAGAGCTCCCCATCCCGAAGCGGGAAATGCGAGTTATGGTTTGCAGTTGCGCTGATGACAAGAACGATGCTCAAATCGCGATAGCCAAAACACTCACTGGTAGAAAACACCATGCTTGCGATGCCATTTTGACACAAATTGATGCCATCACAGCCACTTTTTATGCCACCGCAGTCACTGTGATGGCATCATTTTGTGTCAAAATGGCATCGCGGATGGCATCGCAAACATGCCGTTTTCTACCAGTGACTGGTATCAAGTCCGCGAGATAAGCGTGTCTGCAACATTGCGCGAATATTGTCTGGGATTTTTTGCTGTGGGTGGTTGTCGTTGCCCTGCTGGTCTTATGAGATTTTTCGCTTTTTTTTTTGCGCTAAGTGGAAACGAACAGATTACAAATGTTCAACTTATCAGCTGAACCGATTACCACAACAGATGGTGGTTGTCGTCCGACTGCTGCATGAATGATATTCATGCTTTTTCGGGGACTGAGGTTAAATGCATCCCAATTGTTGATAAAAGGGGGCACAAATGTCAACCGCTATGGAAATCGTGTTTGCCAGATTTGATATGGTTCGAGTTGTATGACGTGACTGGCAGGCTTGGCCTTTACGGCGTAAGACTAATATTCACGTGCAAAAATGATTCTTACGTTTTTGCGAGTAGATAGCTGTGAAAGTGGCTAAAAGTGAGCCTTGCATACTTAACAGGCTCGGCGAGTCCGGGAATTGGCATCAAGACGCTCTGAAGTGCATAAAACGTGCACAAAGCAACAATTTTTAGGGCTGCAGCGTTGCCTTTGCTGAGGGGGACGTGTGCGCTGTGTTGCTGGTGCTGGAGAGAGGGAGGATTCATCGTTGATTGGGGCATCACCATGTAATTCGGGCATGTGGACGTGTCGTAAATATGCGTAAATATGGCCGTGAAAGTGGCTCGTTTCTCTTTTTATGCGTTCTCATGCGTGAAAGCATTAATGCAAAACTGGAGCCGTAAACTTGATGTTGGCCAACTTGTGCTGTTGTCAAGGCCTTTATCGTCTCTCAGATTCCAGACACATGGCATCAGTAGTTTTTGCCGCTTAGAGCTGCCCCACCATCCATCTGCACTAAGAATGGTACCCGGGCTGAGAAAACAGGGCCCAGGCACCCGGAGCTTCCAGAACTTGGGTAACCGGGTGTGCCTGGGTCCATTGATATACCCGGGTACAGAAACCGGCCCGCCGCGCGTTCTGCCGGCTACTGTCTAACGGAGTCTACTACGGCTACACTGCACACGGTGGAAAGTTTGTGGACGGAAGTGGCGGCGCCCGTCCGTTTCCGCAAACACCGTATTTCGCAGACAGACGGACTGTGCATCCGCGAAATGGTGGAGTAACAGGCTTCCACGGGAGGCCAGGGGAAGCACCAGATCCGCAGCAGATAGCTGCCTATGCGCGGCAAAGCGTGAAGCCCATTTTGGCTCCTTGGGGGAGCCCATTGATTCCATTCTCGGGTGCCAATCAGGGAACCCGCGCGCGGCACCGTTCGGCGGCAACGAGGAGCGAAAGTGGCGGGAATGGGAGGCGACGTACGGCGTCCCATTCCTGCTGTCACATTGCGTGTTTTG